TTTCCATTGAATTCCATATAGCCTTGCTTTTCCGAAAGTTGTTCTCATCCAGGGTGGACTGAAGTTTCGACCTCGCATCGGTCTTATCAACACCCCCAGCGGGAGTCGAACCGTGACAATGCAGAATGTGAACTTGACGCGATAACTACTAGGCCACATTGCCACGAGTGCCCTTGGGTCACATGGCGAATGTGAATTTCAAGAAAGGCCAGGCCAATTGCCATATCATATTCTTTGGTGGGATTGTCGATAAGGCAAACGTATATTTGCTATAAAAATCGACTATTTTACTTTATTTTTTGCATTTAAATATTGTTTCGAGACTACCAGTAAATCAGTAATATGAGATGTATTCACCCTATTTTGTTCAAGATGATGAAGGTTAATGGTAGTCTCAAAACTATACTTCCATACGAAAAATAAGTATTCTTGTGTTATAGCAAAAATACGTTTGCTTCATCGACAATCCCACCAAAGAATATGATATGGAAATAAGAACACCTGTGAAATTCAATAGAAACGTCAGCTCTACTCATATCATTGTGGGAAAATTCTATTACCAGTCCATTATCACTTTCATCAACGAAATAGGTTAAATACATTTCATATAACTGGATTATTGTTAATCTCGAAGCTCTACTTATATAAAAAAGTGTTAAAATTGTTTGACCTGGTTTTTGCAACTTAGTGGTATTAGTAGCAAGATCTAGAGGAATACACCTAGTCCGGAGTCCATAGTAAGCATTCGAATTTGCAGTCGGACCGTAGATGTGGTACATTCCCTTTGGAACGTGGGCGTGGTCCGACTCTACAAATTAGCATGCATACTATTGACTCCGGACTAGATGTGTTTCTCCAAGTCCTCCTACCAATATGACCAAGTTGCGAAAACAAGGTCAAACAACTTCTATGCAACGAAAGGAGACTTCGACCATACAAAAGGCATCCCCATCTTGGTCTTCATACCTTCGATTAAACAATTTAAAGTTAATAAGGTTTCCGCAAGTTTTTGCTTTCGAACATAGAATATTTAGAATAAGTATGGACGTTTAGGCACGTCGTCACACGTCGACAACAGTTTTAATCCTAAAGTCCCTTCAAAACCAAATGGCAAATGACCAAGCAGTCTAATGAGATCGATCTATTAATATCTTCTTTGCAAAATTAGATCCTGGATGAAATCAAATCAACAATGGTAATGCTTGGAAAACCAATTTCTTTCCAGATATACAATAAAATCAGGTTTCATAGCCTCAAAAACATCGAATGCGGATACTTACAAAAGCGGAATATTAGACAATGGTCTGCATAAGATAGAATACATCCTTATGTATCCTGGGTCTAAAAAATGCTTTCCCTTTGAGAATAAACTACAGGCTCGATCGCCAGGTCGCTGTGACAACCTCATTTATTGGTGTTTGCATAAATAATGCTAATACGCACTCAACCCACACCTTTTCGGCTCATTTTGAGCTTTTAGTTCTACACGCCTTCAGCCCACCAAAACAGTAGAGATCTTGAAGATAGTATACGCTTTGATTTCAGGATTGCTTTCGGTGGCTGAAATGTAAGGTTTTGACGAGAAGACAGCCAAGAAGTGTTGCATGCATGGTGGGTTTGTGAGCAAGGCCCTCCAAAAGAGCGAATCGGATAATGAATTCTGGAGGATCAGCTTTTAACAGGAAGACAATCCGCCGACTTAATTTAAGTATTCATGGAGCTTCAGGCCCGTGGGTGTAAATCTATTCTTATTTTAGAGTTGTTGCGCTGTAATGTGAGTGCAATTGTGTGTGTTCGCGCATGCGTGTGCTTGATCAACAGCTAACCTTACTAGTCAAATGTGACTTTTATAATGTGTCGGCGATTGTATCCAAATGCTTAACTTTCTATGAGTACTTCGAGTTGGCAGAAAGAAATATGCATGGATAAATCCATTAGCTGAAGACATGTTATGAAACCGGCTTGTATGGTACTAAAGGCTGCTATTGGTCTATTACAACAACAACGACAACGACAACTACTACTACTACTAGCTACTACTGTGTCAGGGATCCATGTCCAGGACACTTACAAGAGTAGTCGAACAGGGTCTATACTATATAAGTGTACCTGAATCGAGACAGTCCTTATAAATGTCATGGCTAAGGATTAAGTGCAGTGACAAGCCGTTACTATTTTGCTCTTAATGCAATTGTGCAAAGGTACGTTTGCATCCAAAATGGGTGGTGACACGGGGTTTTTAGCGGAAGTCGCTAGGAATCGTGATGGCAAGCCATATGGGTTAAAAAAAAGAACTATAGACTGAGATTACGCGAACTGTGAAGGGTTCAAACTAGTCTTTTGGGCTGAAAGTAAAACTTTATTCGTATGAAGAAAAAAGTGGATTTCGAAAAATTCCTTTGTGATATATTTTGATATGACTTTTCATTTTTAAGGAAAAATTGGCTGGAATGAATTCGTGATGCGGTCTCACCGGAAACCGAAGGAGGATTGTCACGTAGGAGAGACTGTCGAATTGTGCAAACAAGTCCTCCAATCACTGTCATGCGACCCCGAAGAAACTGTGCTAAGCCTTCGTCTATACTGTGACAGACATCATCAGAGTAGGAATCCATACTTCAGGAAATAGAGCAAAAATATAATAAACTAGGAGAAAAGGTTGCTGGCTAAACCCCTCGTTAAGCTCGCAAAGTTGGCCGTTTAAAAAAAGGACTAGGGTTGCAGTCGGCCAGTATTCCTTTTGTTTAGTACAGTGGTTCCCAAACTTTTCCTAGTCACGGCGCCCTTTTTCAATAAAATTTTTCCATGGCGCCCTACCCATGGTATGACTATTCGTAAGTAAGAGATAAAAATATATAAAACTCGTGAATCTTCATTATTTTTTTTACTTTATAGACATTAAATTAATATTAAATAATTAATGTGATGGATGAGCCTGCAAATCACTGCACATTTTCTCAAATCGTGGAATTAAACTGGACATGGTCACCCTCATTTCCTTTTCCCAGTTGATTTTTGCTCTATACTTGCGACCGCCGAAAGCCCAGCTTAGCACAAATACGGCGTCAAAAATAGAATTAGAAACCAAACTCTAAATAACTGTCATCATATTTATGATATTTTCATTTCTTCACACTAGTGTCACTGATTAAAGGCATACTTTCTTTGTCTGCACTATTACGTATATAACTGCTAAAAAATCGGTCCATTATCAAAAAAAAATCACAAAATTATTTATCAAAGACAACAAACAAGAAGTAATATAACATTAACTAAATTGCAATATTAACTAAGTTACTAATTTATGTCACTGTTTATATATTTATGAAGCGCTGAGTTTAACTCCACTAGACTCAAATTATAAGTCGACTGACTGAATCGAGCCAGCAACGCTTGCCTATATACTTTCCGGAAGATATTCCAGAACATTCCAAATCCGTCGCGAAGGATCTACGCACCTCGACGTGTCTAGTGCGATCATATGGCGCGATCGCGTTTTCTCTCACGTTTTTGTTTAGTTCGACCAAATGTCTGGGTTGAATGAATTATGAAGCTTTTACAATATTTCGCGGCGCCCCTGTAAAGAGGCCGCGGAGCCCTGTTTGGGAATCACTGGTTTAGTAGATTATTTATCTATTTCGTGAAGTATGGTTTTCTGCTCCGATGATGTCTGTCACAGTACAAACGAAGCCTTAGCTCAGTTTCTTCGGGGTCGCAGAGCGGTAAGCCGAGAACTTCTTTGCACAATTCGACAATCGTACCATTCCGGCAATCCTTCTTCGGTTTTCTGTGAGATTACATCATGAATTCTTTACAACAAATGGAAAATCATGCCACAAGACAATTTATGTTTAGTATGTGTATGCTTCGAAATTATTCGCTCGTGGAAACGGATGGTGGAATTTTTCCCACAATGAAATACGTGGGTTTTCAGGTGCTACTGAGTGTCAATTGCCTAACCTCGCAAAATTAACAAGGTATAATTGTCTCGAAGACTAATTAGCGATTGAATCCTCAAATAAATGTGGGACAACTACACACCCATTCCTTAAGTCCTCACAAGAAATCTAGATTGACTAGATTCTTAGAGAACGAAACAGGGGGCTGAGTTGAATAGCACAAGAGTAGAGTCTAGAAGAGCCGATGGCTCTTCACTCGTTTCGTCTGAGACAAGATTTGGATTTCGTCTATTAAATAACGAACATCGTCAGAGCTGAAATTTATTCTTGCAAGAGTCTCAAATTAACGCAATGTAAAGAATACTAACTAGCCCAATCTTACATTCCACTTATACTCAAAACGAAAAAAATGTATAGATATAACTATTTGGATAAAAAGTTTAATAATTATTTTTGGTACAGACGAAATTTCAAGTGTGCACTATTGCCAGAGTCACCTGGTCTGCGATATGCTGTTGGGCTCCGTCAGCGCATGCGGCCAAAACGCTCTGGTCCCGGATCCACTAACAGATACCGAAAGAATTTTTAAGAACAATGCAGCCAAACAAAGACTTGATTCTGCTGTGACCCTCGCTTCGCTACGTCTCAAAGTGTCGTCCTTATCTAAGCCCGATTGCGATTGACACTCTCGAGTCTCATAAGTATCCCGGGAGGGATTATAATCCTGGAAGTTTGACTGCAGTGACACGCAAGTTAGCCTTGATGCTCTGTGAACTTCAAATTACAGTCAAGGTTTCTCTTATTTTCCGTCTTCTTGGTGAATATTTTTATTGCGTATGGAAAGGCATTATGTAGAGATTTGTTGATTTCGTCATAAGATGACGGCCTCTTTTAGTTGTCATGCCGTCATTGACTTAAATACGACGTTCATGCTGACACAGTCTACAAGGCGTCTTCACTCGTTTCGACTGAAACCAGATTGGTATTTCGTCTTTCAAATAACGGGCATCGTCAGAGATTAAATGTATACTTGCAAAAGTCTCAAGTTAACGGTTAGTAAAGAATACTAACTAACCCAATCCTACATGCCACTTATACTCAAAACGAAAAAAGTTTAGTAATTAGTCTTGGTACTTTCACTTGAGCGTGTGTATAAAAGACTGTAATCAATACCGGCCTTAATTTAAAGTAATTACAAAAGCCTTGTGTCATGCCAGGGCCACCAAGACTTAATGACCTAAGAAGAAGACTGACCAAGATTGCATAAACCCTCAGCTGACTCTAGTTTGATGATGAAATTTAGCCTTTTACGCGGACAAAAGCTGCCCCAGTTTCACCGGAAACGAAGGCGGATGCCTCGTAGATGGCGTCAACCTGCATGTGATAGTAAACCCAAACGGCTGCGGAACAACTGGAATTAGCCGTCTTCTTCCGGTGAGATCGGCCAACCAATCTCTTCCTAATGCATTTCATACGAAATGAATGTCTCCACAAAAGTTTTGCCTGGAGAAATTCATCGAGACCCTATTTTTGTTTGCATTCTACCTCGCCTGTATTTCCTCTATGACCATGAAGACAATCAAATTTTCTGATAGCCGAGACTTAAACGAACGCTAAACTCCATCGGTTGGTATCAACTCGTCAATCACTCAAAACTAATGATTTGACTAAGTTCCTCACTAAGACGTACAGCAAACAACCTTTGAGCTCTGCGCCGAAATCCTTTCTGTAAACTAATTGTATAAAACTTCGAAACATATGAAAGTCAATTGATCCCATCATTTCCCGTTTGATTGGGCTGCCCGAAAGTCTCTTCCTTTGTGGCTTCTTGAGCAATTCAACTTAAGATGAAGTGAGCCTGACAGAGACCAGAGACATAGATGCACCCAGTTTCTGGACTTTAGGTGGCCTTGGTTTTTAATCAGCACAGTCATCAAAGACTGTCATGACAACGACGAGATTAGCCGACATGCCAGCCGATCGGAGGCTGTCTGGTGTGAGTGCATTTGGATGGTCACAAATAAGATTGCATAAGGTGCTCATCAGCTGGTGCAATTATGAGGACGAAGCATTTGGTTAAGTCTCAGAAATCTGTACATTTTTGTCATTCTCCATCCCGAATGCCAATTCTTGGAGTATGCCGAGTATTGGGAATCACACCTTATTCATAAATCCTATAAACTCACATAAAATACAGGCTGAATCTGAGGGCTCAGAAAAAGGAGACTGACCTTTAAGGTGTGTGGTCAATGAAACTGAGAAGCTCAGGATGAAGTGAAGCATTGCATAATATCTCTGTCAATGCTTTACTTGGTTATAGGAGGTGAACTCGAGGCGTTCAAGTACAGACTCTTGTCTTGGAGGGAGGAGTCTGTCAGATTGTTCAACATCCTGAATACAAAAAAAGAATGTAGGAAATTGAGTGGGAGCTATTTGTGACTGTTCTATAGACTTAGCGGAATGGAGAGAGAGAATTAGAGGAAACATCAAAAACCGTGGCTATAGCCTAAATACCCCAGTTGAGTTGAACATTGCACGCACTTTATTTTCGGTATGCGTGGGTTTTGAAAAAAAATAAGTTCTACTATTACTTACAATAACTTATTCAACCCATAAAATTTAGAGTAAATTTTCCCATAATCGAATGCATAGGCCTTCCTGATGCCTCCCAAAAAGCATTATCGTCAAAGCTGGACCTGACAATAGTCTAAACTCCACCTGTGGCTTTATCACGAATTACTGATAGTTTTAGAATCTAATTACATCGAAACTTCTTTTATATTGACATTTGGTGTATATTTTATTCTGTTGACGCAACTATTGTCTTCATCTCGAAAAAATATTATTTTATTTTTGCCGTTATCAAATAGATTTAAAGATGGATTTGAATGCGGGTGGATCTAATCGAACTAGTATTTTATTAAAGAAGGTTACGGAGCTATTAGTAGCGGTAGCATAAGAATATGATCAATCCAGGTCAAAATAATCCGAGTTGACCTCATGATGCAAGTCACTTTCACTTAGCCTTACCTCCGAAACAGTATTCTCATCCAGGATAGACTGCATTTTCGATCCCGTTTCGATCTCACCAGTCCATCCAATGGAAATCGAACCCAGTTGTGAAGTGTATAGTATGAAAATTCTACCACCACGCTATGCTGCTACCTTTGCCA